TCCTCAGACACCCATATCAATTGATCAGACATTCATTCACTAATGCAGCAAATACTTACTGAGTGCATACCACGGATTTTTCAAGCTTTGAAGATCTTGTGAACAAATCAGACAATGTTACTGTCTGTCAGAGCTTTTATTTTAGTGGAAGGAAATCAGGCAATAAAAATATCAAACTATAAGTGAAGAAGATATATCACACATAAAGTGCTGTGAAATTGGAAGTCATGTCTTATCTCCAGAAACTTTAACAACCAAATCCACAAAACACATGCATCAGTATATCTCCCAGAACAAAAGCAAGCACTACCCTACTCCCCTCCCTGCTTTGGTCAGAAAAATAACTGTCACAGAGCCAAGAATTGTTATACTTTTATGAGGACTGTTTGATTGACTGATTTATATTGTATTAAAATTGTTAATTTGGTAAGATTGATTATATTTACATTTAGCATTTCAACTATCTGAATGATTCTCTTAATGAAAAATAAAGTTTTTTAGAGCATAAAGTTGACCTTGTCATTCTTACCTTAAAACTTTTCTCCCCATACTGTACAAAGTAAAAGTACTCCTTGGCAAGGCATAAAGCATCCTTCAGGTTTAAAAAAAGATTTTTTTTAATGTTTATTCATTTTTGGAGAGACAGAGACAGAGTGTGAGCATGGAAGGGGCAGAGAGAGGGAGACATAGAATCTGAAGCAGGCTCCAGGCTCTGAGCTGTCAGCACAGAACCCAACACGAGTCTTGAACTCACGAAATGCGAGATAATGGCCTGAGCCGAAGTTAGCCACTTAACCAACAGAGCCACACAGTCGCCCCCATTTTTTTTTTTTTTAAAGATTTTTTTAAATTATTATTTTTAAGTAATCTCTGTGCCCAACATAGGCCTTAAACTCACGACCCTGAGATCAAGAGTTGCATGCTCTACCAACTAAGCCAGCCAGGTGTCCCCAGAGATCCTTCAATTTAGTGCCTTGTTTATTTCTTGAGCTTTGTGAACCATTACGCTTGCATGCATTCCAGTTGTCTTAGCTCCCTGACCACATCATACGCCATACTGCTGGACCCTTGTTTATGGTGTTCCCTGTGCCTGTAGTTCCTTATTTTAACCTGGGGAAATCCTGTTTATCCTTTAAAAGTCAAGTTTCACAGCCTCTGTGGTGATGTCTTTCCCCGATTCATTTAAAGTTTATTTACTCCCGTTTGTGCTATTGTGTAGCCTTTTGCATAATTCTTCTACTGACCTTTTCATGAAGTAATGTAATTTTTTAAATAGAGGTTTGAATCTAATACTTTAGAGGTATTTTGAAGGCATTTATGTGTTGGTTCTTAATAATTGTGCATTAAGTATTGAATAAATAGATGAATTACCATATGAGGCCATGTTAATGAGAAATTAGAATATATTCTCCTAGTGACAATAAGCAGCAAAATTCAGAAGTACTGGTGGTCATTCTGAGGAGCTGCATGCAGTACGGACTTCCCTTCTAGGGCAGGGCTCGGCTGGCCAGTGCTCTGGAGAAGCCTGGAGAATCAGCAAAGCTCTGAGGGGGACTAACTCATCGAGATGGCTAAGGGACCTATTTCTGCTGGCTTCGGCTGGAGAAGAGCTAAGTCTGTCTCTTTTCCGGTCTTGTCAGAACGGAGAAATCGGGGCCATCCTGGGGCTTTGTCATCTGTTGAGCCCCTCCTTGTGTGTCCGGGGCTTTGGGGTATGGTCCTATGAGGAAGAATTATCTCATTTTACAGAGGAAGAAGCAAACCCCGGGAGCTGAAACAGACTTCTCCAGCTCACCACACTAACATGACCTTGTTCAGCTGGTTTGGTTTTTGTTGGTTTTTGTTGGCTTTAAGACCGTTATGGACCCACGTGGGTCCCGGCCCTCTTCTCCCTTCATTCATTCTCTCCCTGGGTGACCTGGCTCATGACATGGCTGCCACTTCCACCTGTACCTCTCTTCTGGGCTCCAGACTGTCAGCCTGACATCCGTGCCCATGTATCCCAAAGGCCTCTCATACCTGGCACGTTCAAGAGTGGTCTCTTGGGTCTCTTGCCCCGCCCCCCCATACCATATCCCTTAGCCTCTGCCAGTCTCCCTCTGCTCAGAAAACGGCACATCATCTGCCCAGTTGTTTGAGGCAGAAACCCAGGAGACCTTGTAGATTCCTCCCTTATCTATGCCCTCCCTTCAACGCATCAGCAACTCCTGTCACATCTAGTTCCAAAACGCATCTCCCTTACCTGTCCCACGTCCATTCTCCGTCTCCCAGACCATCATCTGCAGGCACTACTACGGTAGCCTCTGTACTGATGTTCCTCCTCCTCTTACTGTTTTCTTCACTCAGCAAATGGTTGGCAGGTGCTCCTGTACTGTTTACAGGTATACGTCATTTTACTGCACTTCAGTTTACTGCGCTTCACAGATAATGTGTTTTTACAGATTGGATGTTTATGATAACCTGGCTTTGACCAAGTCTGTTGGCACCATTTTTCCAAAAACATTTGCTTCTTTCTGTCTCTGTGTCATGTTTTAGTGATTCTCACGATATTTCAAAATTGTCATTATGATTATACTTGTTATGGTGATCTGTGACATTGCTATCACAATGCACTGCACCCATATAAGATGGTAAACTTAACTGATAAATGTTGTGTGTGTTCTGACTCCTCCACCGACCAGCCCATTTCCCCACTTCTCCCCCTCTCCTCCAGCCTCCCTATTTCCCTGAGACATAACAATATTGTGATTAGGCCAGTTAATAACCCTACAATGGCCCGTTAAATGTTCAAGTGAAATAAAGAGTCACATGCCTCTTGCTTTACATCACAAGCTAGAAATGATTAAGCTTAGTGCAGAGAGCCTGTTGAAAGCCAAGATATATACCAAAGCCAGGCCTCTTGCACCCAATAGTTAGCTAAGTTGTGAATGTGAAGGAAAAGTTATTGAAGGAAATTAAAGGTGCTGCTCCAGTGAACACAGGATGATAAGAAAGTGAAAACAGTCTTATTGCTGATGTGGAGAAAGTTTGAGAGGTCCCAATAGGAGATCAAGCCAACCACAACATTCCCTTAAGTCAAAGTTTAATCTAGAGCAAGACCCTAACTTTCTTCAATTACATGAAGGCTTGGAGGGGTGAGGAAACTGCAGAAGAAAAGTTTGAAGCTAGCATAGGTTGGCTCATGAAGTTTAAGGAAAGAAACTGTCTCTATAACATAAAAGTGCAAGGTGAAGCAGCAAGTGCTGATGTAGAAGCTGCAGCAAGTTCTCCAGAAGATCTGACGAAGATAATTAATAAAGGTGGCTACATTAAACAGCAGATTTTCAATGTAGATCAAACAGCCTTCTTAATTGGAAAAAGGTGCCATCTAAGACTTTCACAGCTAAAGACGTCAATGCCTAGTTTCAAAGCTTCAAAAGAACAGTCTGACTCTCTTGTTACGAACTAATGCAGCTGGTGACTTTAAGTTGAAGCCAATGGCATGTACCATTTTGAAAATTTGAGGGCCCTTAAAAATTGTGCTAAATCCATTCTGCCTCTGCTCTGTAAATGGAGCAAGAAAGCCTGAGTGGCAACACATCTGTTTCCAACATGATTTCATGAATATTTTAAGCCCACTGTTGAGATCTGCTCAGAAAAAGATTCCTTTCAAGATACTACTCCTCATTGACAATGCACCTGAACACTCTTGACCTCTGATGGAGGGGTAAAGTGAAATTAATGTTGTTTTCATGCCTGCTAACAACATCCATTCTGTAGCTCTTGGATCCAAGGAGTAATTTCAACATTCAAGTCTTATTATTTAAGAAATAAATTTCATAAGGCTGTAGCTGCTATAGATAGCGATTCTGATAGATCTGGGCAAAGCCAATTGAGAACCTGCCAGAAAGGATTCACCATTCTAGATTCCATTAAGAACATTGTGATTCATGGGAAGAGGTCAGAATATCAATATCGAGAGGATTTTGGAAGAAGCTGATTCCAAACCTCATGGATGACCTCATGGGGTTCAAGACTTCAGTGGAAGAAGTAACGACAGACGTAGAAATAGGGAGAGAAGTAAAATTACAAGGGGAGCCTGAAGACGGGACTGAATTGCTGTTATCTCATGATAAAACTTGAACAGATGAGGACTGGCTTCTCATGGATGAAGAAAGAAAGTGGTTTCTTGAGAAAGAATCTACTTCTGGTTAAGATCCTGTGAAGATGGTTGAAATGACAAGAAAGGATTTAGAATATTACACAAATTTAGTTGTTAAAAAACAGTGGTGGGTTCGAGAGGTTTGATTGTAATTTTGAAAGAGGTTTTACTGTGTGTAAAGTACTATCCTCATTGCATACGCCAACATCAACATCGAGGCAGTGCCCTCCACCAGCAAAAAGATTATGACTCGCTCAATGCTCAGATGATGGTTACATTTTTAAGCAGTAAAGTATTTTTTTAGTGTTTATTTATTTTTGAGAAGGGGGGGAAGCAGAGAGAGAGGGGGACAGAGGGTCTGAAGCGGGCAATGTATTGACAGCAGAGAGCCTGATGTGGGGCTCAGACTCACAAACCGTGAGATTATGACCTGAGCCGGAGTTGGACATTTAACTGACTGAGCCGCTCAGGTGCCCCAGTAATAAAGTATTTTTTAATTAAGGTGTTTACATCTTTTTTTTAGACATAATGCTATTGAACACTTAAGAGACTGTGTTATATTGTAAACATAACTTTTCTGTGCGGTGAGAAACCAAAAGATTCATTTGACTTGCTTTAGTGTGATACTTGCTTTATTGTGGTAGTCTGGGACCAAACCGGCAATTAGCTCTGAGGTATGCTTATACCATTATCACTACCATTGTGTTAATGGGAATGTCTTCCTGATTCATTTAGGTTTGTAATTTAATATATTTATGAGGTCTTTCGGTTTTTAAAAACAAAATGATTTATAACCTAATTGAAATAATTATAAACAAGTTAGAGTCTTCATAAAGCATGCTCTCCTTTCCATCAACAGAATCCAACGTGGCGGAGTCTCGATTTTGGAATAATGCCAGACCGTCTTGATACATCTGTGTCTTGTTTCGTGGTGAAGATATGGGGTGGAAAGGAGGACATCTACCAGCTTTTGATTGAATGGAAAGTCTGTTTGGATGGGCTGAAATACTTGGGTCAGCAGGTAATTATTTGTTTATTTATTTATAATGTTTATGTATTTTTGAGAGAGAGAGAGAAAGAGAGCATGAGCAAGGGAGGGGCAGAGAGAGAGGGAGACACAGAATCTGAAGCAGGCTGTAGGCTCTGAGCTGTCAGCACAGAGCCCAATGCGGGGCTTGAACCCATGAACCGCGAGATCAAGACCTGAGCCAAAGTTGGACACTCAACTGACTGAGCCACCCAGGCGCACCCCCACTTTTTTTTAATGTTTAGGTAATTTTTAGATTCTAGTTATGAGTAGTTGTCTTCTCTAAATTAACCTATCTAACCTTTCTGTAGATTCTTACGATTCCACATTTCCGATCATAAAGAGAGAACTTTGATGATTGTTTACTTAATTATAGAAATTTGAGTCATTACCAAGTTTGAAAAATAATTTTTAACTGAGGCAACTTATGAGGAAGCACCCTAAGCTGCTAATTTAAGAGGATTTTTTTCTGGGAGGTGTAGGAAAGAATATACTTTCCAATAGCATTCTTTTTCTTCTGTTTTATTGGATATTCCCCAATAGAATCTGAACATTAAGTTGCAAATATGGAATGTACTATAAAGAGCTTCTCTTATGATCCGTAGAGTTGAGTTGTTTCAGGAATAAGGAGAGCTACTGTTTATTGAGCACGGAGATAACAATTGCCTGGTTTATACACTGCTACCAATCCCCTTTGAGCGATGTAGCTATTGGATCATAGCACCCTTCTAGCTGAGCTCGGAAGTAGCTCCATAATCCCTTCTGACACTGTTCTGGGATGCAACTAGTAATTTATCAGAGCTGCATATGATATGAAACCTATTTACCATCCCCAGACATAGATTATTATAATTTGTGTTTATATCAGCCTTGTGAAGTTTGGTATTATTGCCCTTATTTTCCAGATGGGAAAATTGAACCATAGAGAGTTTAAGAAACTGTTCAAGATCACACTGCTAGGTGGAGCTGGGATTTGATTCCAGGCCTGGCTGACTTACAAATTTATTCTGTGTTTTGTATCACACTAATATAGACATATAGTCCTTGGTAGTCCACCTACCTTGGAATGAGTGCTGTATCTATTTTGTGATACCCGAGGGACTGCTGTTAAAAATTTAAATATTTAAAATATTTAAATATTTAAAATGTTTGTCATATCTATGAATATCCTTGATGTTTCTTAATATTTATTCAATATAGACTTTCTGGTATATTTCTTTTAAAGAATCAGTTTAATTCTACATGTTTTTTTATCAGATTAAAAAAAAGTCCTTTGCCCTCATTTTGCTTATTGTATATTTTGTGTTCTTCTATATAGTGACCAGAACAATGCATATAATGGATATTTTCCATAACTAAATTCTAATGGCTACAGATTCTTAATCTTTTTTGTTTTTGTATTATTCTCCCTGTTTTAGGACTGGTCTTTTTTTTTTTTTTTTTTTTTTGTAATTTTTTTTTAAATGTTTATTTATTTTTGAGACAGAGAGAGACAGAACATGAACGGGGGAGGGTCAGAGAGAGAGGGAGACACAGAAGCTGAAACAGGCTCCAGGCTCTGAGCAGTCAGCACAGAGCCCGACGCGGGGCTTGAGCTCACAGACCGCGAGATCGTGACCTGAGCCGAAGTCGAACACTTAACCAGCTGAGCCACCCAGGGGCCCCTTTAGGACTGGTCTTAATAAAAATTTGTAAAACACTGACTTTTAGCTTAGGGCCTTTTTTCCTCTTTTGTTACGGTATACTTGTTGCCTTTAGATTGGCCAACCAGAGCCCTGCGCTGAGGCAGTACTCTTTCTGTCTTCCCAAATACCATAGTCGGCTCTCTGTGGATAGACTCTGGTATTGAGTACTTGTTTGTCTTTCTTCTGAAAGTACCTGCATTTCTCAGAGGATGATGCTTCTTAACATTAGAGTGTATGGCTATAGAAGATGGCTATAGAAGCAACGAAGATGGCCTTCATGCTTTTCAACTCACATATTCCTTAGGTAGTGATCTTGAAATACCCAACTGTGTTTATGTCAAACTTGCTTAATTGCAGAGAGTCAACTTTCAGGTGTCTTATTATAAATATAAAACTGGTTATGCTGGTATAATGGAGAACAAGAGAAAGGGAAAACATTTTTAAAGCCAATTAGAAACTACCATTGTAGAAAGTCAGAACTCACCTATGAAATAGATATAACAAGTAATATACTACTAGAAAATCAGATAAACTTGGATTACAAATTGGGGTACCTGTGTGGCTCAGTTGGTTAAGTGGCTGACTTTAGCTCAGGTCATGATCTCGCCATTCGTGGGTCTGAGCCCTGTATCAGGCTCTGTGCTGACAGCTCAGAGCCTGGAGCCTGGGATTCTATGTCTCCCTCTCTCTCTGCCTCTCCCCCACTCATACTCCATCTCTCTCTCTCTCTCTCTCTCTCTCTCTCTCTCTCTCTCTCTCAAAAACAAATAAACATAAAAAAATAGGGTTACAAATTTTCAGACTAAGCAAGATTAAGATGTATGAGGATAATAGACAGAATTACTTAGGTTCATTGATCATGTACTTTCTATCAGGCATTGTTCTTACTGTTAAGGATCCAGAGGTGGGTAAGACAAGATCCTTAGACTTAGTACACTGATAGTTGATGAATACTTGCATAGACCTGCATAGTACCATACTGTTTTAATTACTATGGCTTTGTAATACAATTTGGGGGAATATATGGAAGAGGTATTTAGACAGGACTAGGTAGAGTCAGGTTGGGCTGACTTTTGAATGAAATTTTCTTTTGCAAGTCAGGTTGTTGAGGTATAATGTATATATAATAAAATTCACCCTTTTAAGGTATACAGTTCAGTAGGCTTGACAAATGTGTGAAGTCTAGTAACCACCACAATGAGTAATGCTGCTGTGAATATTTAAATATAGGCCTTTTTGTGGACATATGTTGTCATTTCTCTTGAGTAAATACCTAGGAATGGGATGTCTGGGTCTAGTGGTTAAGTGTGTGCTGAAATTTATAAGAAGCTGCCAAACTGTTTGCCATTCTGGTGGGTTTGAAGTGGTATCTTGTGATTCTTTTTTTTTTTTTAAGTTTTTATTTTAATTACCTGGTACTCATCATGACAAGTGCACTCCTTAATCCCCATCACCTATTTCACCTATTCCTCTACCCACCTGCCCTCTGGTAACCATCAGTGTGTTTTCTGTAGTTAAGAGTCTGTTTCTTGGCTTGCCTCTCTCTCTCTTTTTTCCCTTCATTTGTTTTGTTTCTTAAATTCCACATATGAGTGAAATGATACAGTATTTATCTTTCTCTGACTGACTCATTTCACTTAGCATTATATTCTCTAGATGCATCCAAATCATTGCAAATGGCAAGCTTCCATTTTTTATGGCTGAGTAATATTCCATCCCTCTCTCTCTCTCTCTCTCTCTCTCTCTCTCTCTCTCTCTCTCTGTCTCTCTCTCTCTCTCTGTCTCCCTCCCTCCCTCCCTCCCTCCCTCTCTCTCTCTCTGTCTCTCTCTCTCTCACACACACACACACACACACACACATACACACACACACACACACACACCATATCTTCTTTATACATTCGTCAATGGACACTTGGGCTGCTTACATATCTTAGCTACTGTAAATAATGGTTCTATAAACATAGGGGTGCATGTATCTCTTTGAATTAGTGTTTTTGTATTATCTGGGTAAATACTTAATAGTGCAATTGCTAGATCATAGTGTAGTTTTATTTTTAACTTTTTGAGGAACCTCCATACTGTTTTCCACAGCGGCTGCACCAGTTTGCATTCCCACCAACAGTGCGTGAGTGTTCTTTCTCTTCACATTCTTGCCAACACCTGTTGTTTCTTGTGTTGTTGATTTTAGCCATTCGGATAGTTATGAGGTGATATTTCATTATAGTTTTGATTTGCATTTCCCTAATGGTAAGTGATGATGAGCATCTTTCCATGTGTCTGTTGGCTGTGAATGTCTTTTTTGGAGAAATGTCTGTTTGTGCCTTCTGCCCTTTTTTAAATTGGATTATTTGCTTTTTGGGTGTTGAGTTTTATGAATTCTTTATATATCTTGGATATTAACCCTTATAAGATACGTCATTTGCAAATATCTGTTCCCATTCAGTAGGCTGCCTTTTAGTTTTGTTGATTGTTTCCTTTGCTGTGCAGAAGCTTTTTATTTTGATGTAGTCCTGATAGTTTAATTATGCTTTTATTTCCCTTGCCTCAGGGGACCTATGTTGCTACAGCCAATGTCAGAGAAATTATTCCCTGTGTTCTTTTCTGGGATTTTTCTGGTTTCAGGTCTCACATTTAGGTCTTTAATCCATTTTGAACTTATTTTTGGGTATGGTGGAAGAAAGTGGTCCAGTTTCATTCTTTTGCATGTGTCTGTCCAGTTTTCCCAACACCCATTTGTTAAAGAGACTGTCTTTTTCCCATTGGATAGTCTTCTCTGCTTTGTCAAAGATTAATTGACCATATCATTGTGGGTTTATTTCTGGATTTTATATTATGTTGCATTGATCTATGTGTCTGTTTTTATGCCAGTACCATACTGTTTTGATTACCACAGCTTTATAATATAACTTGAAGTTTAGAATTGTGGTGCCTCCAGCTTTGCTTTTCTTTTTCAAGATTGCTTTGACTATTCAGGGTCTTTTGCGGTTCCATATATATTTTAGGATTGTTTATTTTATTTCTGTGAAAAAATGCTGTTGGTATTTTGATAGGCATTACATTAAATGTGTAGATTGCTTTGATTAGTAAGACATTAAAAAAATTTTTTTTTAAATGTTTATTCATTTTTGAGAGAGAGAGACAGAGCATGAGCCAGGGAGGGGCAGAGAGAGAGGAGACATAGAATCTGAAGAGGGCTCCAGGCTCTGTCAGCACAGAACCTGACGTGGGGCTTGAACCCATGAACCATGAGATCAAGACCCGAGCTGAAGTTGGACACTTAACTGACTAAGACACCCAGGCACCCCTGAGTAGTACGACATTTTAACGATATTTGTTCTTCTAGTCCATGAGTGTAGAATTTGGAATGTGTTTCCATTTCTTTGCATTGTCTTTAATTTCTTGTTTTCAGAGCATAGGTCTTTCACTGCTTTTTTGGGTTTATTCCTAGGTATCTTATTTTTTTGGGTACAATTGTAAATGGGATTGTTTTCTTAATTTCTCTTTCTTCTGTTTGTGCTGCTTTGTTATGGGTGTATAGAATCTTGTGATTTTAATTTGAATTTCTCTGGTAATGAAATCATGTTGAGCAGTTAAAAAAATGTTTGTCATCAGCCTCTCTTTCTCTTACCCTTTTTTTGTAAAATGTTCAGATTCTTGCCCACTTTTTATTTGGTTGTTTGAATTCTCATTATCGAGTAGAATTTCTGTATGTATTCTGGATATGAGTCAGTTCTTTATAAAATCTGTATTTTCCAATTATTTTCTGCCAGTCTGTGGCTTTTCATTTCTTTAAGTGCCATTCAAAGAACAGAAGCTTATAAGTGTTGATGAAGTCTGCTATATTAGCTTTTACTTTAATGTTTCATCCTTCTTGTGTTTTATCTAAGACATCTCCACCTAATCCAAGGTTACAAAGATTTCTCTTATGGAGTTTTTTCTCTAGAAGTTTTACAGTCTTAGGTTTTATGTTTATGCCTATGATCATTTTGAATTCACTTTTATTTAAAGTGTAAGGTTCGTTGTTTTGCAGATAGATGAACATTTGTTCCTGTACTCTGTTGTAAGAGCTCTTATTGAATTACCTTGCTATCTTTGTTGAAATGAATTGTTTAAAATCATTTATATGGGTCTGTTTCTGGACTGTATTGTATTTTATTGATCTGCATGTCTGTCTTTATGCCAATACCACATGATCTTGAATAGTGTAGTTTTATACATCATGAATTCAGGTAATATGCATCCTCCAACTTTGATCTTTTTTCAGAGTTGTTCTGGCTATTCTAGATCTTTTGCTTTTACATATGTATTTTAGGACTAATTTGTCAATTCTACAAAAATCTAAGAAAATTTGGGAAGAATTGACATCTTAATAGTATCAAGTGTTTCAATCTATGGACATGGTATCCCTGCATTTGTGAAAATCTTATTTCACTCATCAGCATCTTGTAGTTTTCAGTATACAGATCTTGCACATATTTTGATAGATTTGTACCTGTGGATTCCATGTTTTTTAATGCTAGTTTAGATGCTGTTCCTTTAAAAAACTATTCCTATTTGCAACTATTGTTGCTAATATATACAAACATTTCTGTGTGGAGCATGTATTCTCTGACTTGCTAAACTCATTTATTAGGTCTAGTAGTTTTTTGGTAGATTCCTTTTATAAATTCCTATATAGGCAGTCATATCTGTGCACACATTGTTTAATTTCTTCTTAATGGGTATGTATTTTTTCTCTTTTTCTTGTCTTATTTCATTGGTTCAGACTTCAGTACAATGTAATGTTGAATAGAAATGAGTAGAGTGGACATCCTTGTTTTTGTTTTTTTTTTTTAAATTTTTTTTTTTTCAACGTTTATTTATTTTTGGGACAGAGAGAGACAGAGCATGAACGGGGGAGGGGCAGAGAGAGGGAGACACAGAATCGGAAATAGGCTCCAGGCTCTGAGCCATCAGCCCAGAGCCTGACGCGGGGCTCGAACTCACGGACCGCGAGATCGTGACCTGGCTGAAGTCGGACGCTTAACCGACTGCGCCACCCAGGCGCCCCTGGACATCCTTGTTTTGTTACTGATGTTGGCTAAAAGTATTCAGTCCTTTGCTATTAAGTATAATATTAGCTGTAAATTTTGTAAACACTTTATCAGGTTCAGGAAATTTCCTTTCATAATGGATTATATTTGCTAATATTTTGGTAAGACTTCTTTCATCTGTGTCCGTGGGGGATATTGGTCTGTACTTTTCTTGCATTGTTCTTTTCTGGTTTAGTATGAGAGTAATGCTGGTCTTGTAAAATAGATTGGGAAGTGTTTAGTTTTCTGTTTTCTGGAAGGATTTGTGTAACAAAGTTGGTATTCATTATTACACAAATGTTTGACAGAATTCTTCAGTGAACCCATCTGGGTGTTAAGATTTCCCTGTGGGAAAGTTTAAAAGTATAACTTCTATTACTTAACTAGATATGGGGCTTTTTAGGTTATCTATTTCTTTTTGAGTGAGCTTTGATAGTTTGTTTTCCTAAGAGTTTGTCAGTTTCACATAAGATTTCAAATTTATTAGTATAAAAATTTTCACAGTATTATTCTATTCTTGTAAGGCTTATAGGCTGTCTAATGATCCTTTCCTCTTTCATTCTTGCTATCAGTAATTTCTGTCTCTTTCTACTCTTAATCACTCTGTCTAGAGAGTTATCCATTTTCTTAGCTTTTCAAAGAACTGGTATTTAGTTTCATTGATTATCGTTATTTTCGGTTTCATTGATTTCTCATTTTATACTTATAATTTTCTTTCTTTTGCTTGCTTTGGGTTTACTTTGCTCTTCTTTACTAGTTTCTCAAGGTAGGATTTTGCATTACTGTTTTGAGACTTATCTTTTCTAAAGTAAGCATTTAATAAATTTTCCTCTAAGCCTTGCAATAACTCTGACTCACAGACTTCAATGTTGTATTTTCATTTTCATTCAATTCAAAATATTTTCTAATTTCCCTTTTATTTCTTGACTCAAGGGTTATTTAGAGGTATGGTGTTTAATTTTCAAACATTTGTGTATTTTCCAGATATCCTTCTTTTCTTGATTTCTACTTGAATTCTGACGGATTTAGAGAAAATAGTTTGTATGATTTCAATACTTTTGGCTTTTGTGAGGTTTATTTTATGGCCCAGAATATAAGATCTCTATTTGGTGAGTGTTTCCTATACATGTGACGTGTATTCTGTTGTCACTGAACGGATTGTTTTACAAACGTTAGTTAGGTTAAATTGATTGGTCATCTTGAGTGAAATTTGGATGATATGTTGGATTTAGCCGGAGGAAGGGGGGGGGCGGGTAGGTACAGAAGTGTGATATAACAGAGCATAATCTGACTCATTCATTTCTAGTTGAGGAAACTAGGGTCCAGAGTGATGATGCAGCTTAGGTATTATTATCTTTAAACTGTGTTTTTGAAAACAGAAAATAATATTAATCTTGTATGTTTTTTTCTAGGACTTGTGTGTGTGTGTGTGTGTGTGTGTGTGTGTGTGTGTGTTTAACGTTTATTTATTCTTTTGAGAGAAAGAGCACGAGCAGGGGAGGGGCAGAGAGAAGGGGAGACACAGAACTCAAAGCAGGCTCCAGGCCCTGAGCTGTCAACATAGAACCTGACGTGGGGCTCAAACTGATGGACCGAGAGATCCTGAGCCAAAGTCAGACACTCAATCAACTGAGCCACCCAGGCACCTCAGGACTTTATGTTTTTTAAAGCACTCTTATGGACTAGGATTGTGTTTTCTTTGAGATCAGAGAATATACAGTATGTCTCTGGATCCCTTGTGTTTTAGAACTAGCCTTTCCGTAGCAATCTCAAGAAGTATTTGTGGAAAATATATGTGAATGATGGTGCCTGTTATCTCATGTGATGATTTTGTGAGCCCTTTGACTAAAGCAAGAGGCTCTCAATGGATTCTCTGGTCTTAGGATAAGTGATTTGTTTTCTGCTGGCTTGTTAGATTAGTCAGCCTGTTTTTCAGCATTGAAGCAGGTCCTGTTTTAACTGTCATGCTCCAATCATATTAAAACTTAATTGGAATGAGAAGAACTGATAGGGTGTTTTTCTTCTTTTATAGATTCATGCCCGCAACCAGAATGAAATAATTTTTGGGCTGAACGATGGCTACTATGGTGCTCCATTTGAACATAAGGTAAGAGGGTTTTCCTAATTCTGTGAGTTTTGTTTAGTCCAGCTGTGCCTTGACACATAGTGTAAAAAGCACTGTGTAAACAGAAGCTTGTTTTAAGTATCATCATAAGTTTGTTTAGTGTGGCTTAAGGTAAAATGCTTTCTAAAGCAAAAACGTGTTTTGTAACCACCCCAATTCATCTTTTCTAAATCTAGATTATTGACTTTCCTAAAAGAAGATCTGGGCTGTTTGCTCTTATTCTACATAATTCTTTGGAGGGTCAAAACAGAATGGTGACTTTTGATGAAGTGCAGTACAATTTTATTACGGATTAGTCAGTTCGGTCTCGCTACCAGGAGTGTGTTTGGAAACTATTGGACACACCGGAAAATCTTAGGGATTAGTTTGAAAAATTGTTTTTGGTGTCAGTTATTTGGGTCTTGCAGATGATGCAGGTGAATTAGAGCAGAATATAAGCAATTTGAAGAGCACCTTAGGTAGAGGTGCCCTTTTTAATGTTTGGGGACTATGGAGAACCAGAGAGGAACACTGTTGTAGCTTGAAGTTGGAGCGGATGGAAGTTGATGAATAAGGCTAGGTGGCTTGAAGAGATGTTTTCTAGATGGATTTAACTGCCACAATGGCAATTAGGGGGGCAGGGGGGATAAGAGGCTGTTGGCTCAGCTCCTTCTCCAATAAGCTGGAAACCTTCAGTTCTCAGTTTAGGACTTTTGCCTTTAACATAGACATGTAAGACCATCTTTGCCTGAATTGCCTTTTGTCAGCTCCTCTTGTTTTGGGGAGGATGCTGACAGCTACCTGGATGAGTGTAACCTGGTGGTTTAGAATACAGGTTTTGGAGTCAGATTGCTGTGAGTTTAATTCCTAGTTTAACTTACCTACGAGAGAGATCTTGGGCAAATTGAGTCACCTCTGAGTTTATTTTCTCCTCTGTAAATGGAGGTAGCAATTTCTACCTCACCATAAATTGGGGCATGAAAGGTGGTCGTGAACATTATGAGCCTGGCACATGAATAGAATTCAATAATAAATGGAAACTACCCATTAGGTGCTAAACTCTATCATATGATAAGGGAGATTACCTCTCTAATCCTATCGTGTTAACATTGTGTCCCTTGCCCAGTACCTGGGGTATAGTATAGTAGGTGCTCAGTAGAAATTTGTTAATGAATGTAGGTGAATGCATGTTGTATTTAGGACTGTCAGCAATAATGGGGTGGGGGGTGGAGGGATGGGGGGGGGTGGTGGTATTATTTCTGTCTCCTATCCTACTTTACCCTGACCCCCGACTCCTGGAATTTTATTTTTATGTAACTCATACTGTCAAAATAACTCTAACTGCTATATTATTGACAAAGTGCAAAAAAGCAGTAGAATTGTAAGAATTCTCTCGGACTAAAAGCTATAGCAGCAATATCTTCAGAGTCCAGTAGATGGCAGTGCTTTCTCATTGTAATGGGGAAAATAGAGCAGGAGTGGAATCCAGTAAAAAGGACCAAATCTTTTTGGAATGAAATTCTCAGGAGATGAAAATAGCAATTTGGTGATTAATTTCACAAACACAGTCACATGACTTGATCACCTGACGTACATAGTCAAGCCTAGATTGAAGATTTAGGGACAATAGCAAGTTTCAGGGTCTGTTTTGAGACCTGTACAAATGAAAACTCCTAATTTTATATTTTTCAAGACATGATAGTTTTGAAAAGTAGAAAACCTGAATTCTAATCTCAGTTAAGAGACCTCCATTTAGTTCACTTCGTAGAACTGAGAAAGTAAAAAGGTGGCTATTTCCTCTTGCTAGTCAAATTAATGGACACTAACTTGTTTCCAAAGCACGTCCCACACAATACATAAGCAGAATGTTCAGAAGTAGGGATTAAGTGTCCCAAATAGCCTATGTTTTAACAACAGGGAAAGGGATATGGTATAATTTTGTCCAGGTCTTTCAGTACATCATCAAGCGAAAGTTGGAAAATTATAAAAATAGCTTATTTCTACACATATTTTAGTCAACTTTCCTTGTGCTGCCCCCCCCCCCCCCCCATTACAACATACAAGAAACAAACAGCGAATAAACCTTCAGGGGCTGTTTCCAACAGCTGCCTGCTTTGTTATAAAACATCTAGGTATCTGAGCGCAGTTTAAATGCAGGGGAAAAGTGCTCTCCTAGTAACAGCGTTGCACCAGGTATTTATAGAGCTTTTGAAAACTACCATTGCTAGTTTTCATTTAAGGAGTACCTATTATATGTCAGACACTATACTAGCTATCATACTTGTTTTTATTTAATCTTGGGTAATAACTCCATGAGATAGTTGTTACTCTCATTTTATACGTAAAGTACCCTAGAAGAAAACATGAAACTACTAACCCAAGACTATATAAGTAGGAAGTGGCAGAACAGTGGTTTTCTTTTAACCACGAAGCTACCTGGCGTCTCTACATCTTCCCACTATGTATAGCATGTTAAAATACCAGGGCTCTCTGTCTTTACATTTAACCAGAGGTATCCACTATGTGCATTGTGAGAGTCAAATGAGCGGGTACATGGGAAAGTGCTCTGGATGGTATGAAGTGCATTATTGTGTAGGCTTTGTATGTTTATTATTGTTGAGTGGGCATGTGATGCCCATGAGGCCATCAACCCGCTGAAGTCTATAAAAGGTCCACATATTAGTCACTATATTTGGCTTCTCTTGAGTCTTTTTTTCCCCTTTTCCCGTGGATCAAATGAACTTTTGACAGATGTTTGGAAAATCATCTTATCCTGTAATTCATATTTATAAATCCTGCTGCTGCAGTGTGGTCCCCATTCTCTCTCTTCACCGAAGCCAGAAAATAATCTGGGAAAATGCCATATTTCCTGTTACGAATTTGGAGGATCTTGTCTTCTTAGCACGATTTTTGAGCTTTTCAGTATTTTAATACTGGAAAATTCAAAGCCAGGCATGGTTCTTTGTATAGATGTTTTAGATTCTTGAAAAGTAAACAGAAACAGAACTCCAGACTTGTCCTCGCTGGGGGGATTCAGAGAGTTTAAAATTTGGTTTTGTTTAAGATTTTGAAAACTTGTTTTTACTCTTCTCTCTTGGATTTGTAGTGAGGGCATTCTTGACCTTTTATCCCCCCCTCTGATCGTCAGTTTCAGTTTAAATTGTCCTATAAAGCTGGGAATCCTTTTTTTCCCCCTCTCCCTCTCAGCTAATGCTCTTTAACAGGATTCCACTGCTGCCTTCTCTAGTCCCGTAACAGTTATGGTAATTTGTGTGTGCATCTTTTCTCCTCTTCGGGCATAAGCTCCTTTTGACTGAAGTTGTGTTTTACTCACTTTTTTAGTCTCAGGACTTAGTGTAGACTTTGCTTGGTAAATATTTTTCTGTGAGTGTACAAAGTCTCCTAGGATCATATGGTTCCTATCTCTAGTCTGAAATATAGTCCTGGGTTACATTAGCAGGGCACTTTCAGTCCTCTTGTCATGAAGTAGCATTAATAGCATTTAGTCCACTTCATATGTGGAGTGTGGACTATGACTGTAATGCTTTTTTGAGGGTTGTTTAAGCCACTAAAATAAGAACAAGAATCTCTTTACCCTATTGATGTGAAGGGATTGATTTTAGTTTCAGGATCTGTATACCTTTGCTTAACAGTACTCTTCTTATTTCTCATTACTTCTCGTATTTTGAGGGACCACATCCTCTGTGGCCTCAAACCTTAGACCAGATCCGGGGGAGTATGTATATTCAGTTCTGGTTTAGTGTCTCAGAAGAGGTCTTGCCTTTCCTTTTTTTAAAAATTTTTTTTTATTTTTTAAAAATGTTTATTTTTGAGACAGAGAGAGACAGAGCATGAGTGGAGGAGGGGTAGAGAGAGAGGGAGACACAGAATCCGGAGCAGGCTCCAAGCTCTGAGCTGTCAGCACAGAGCCCGACGTGGGGCTCGAACTCACAAACCGCGAGATCATGACCTGAGCCAAAGTCGGACGCTCATGCTCAACTGACTGAGCCGCCCTGGCGCCCCATTGCCTTTCCTTCTTAAAAGCTCAGCTTCTGGGCTTCGTCAGAGCCCAGAGGTAGAAGGTACCCGAGGCTTGAAGGTGCTTGACAGAGATACTTGCACAATTTTTGTCAGTTTAAGCTTGGCTGACAATTAAAAGCGTATTAATGTCCAAATGAACATAAACACATAGGAACACAGGCTGTCTGTTGATTCATCAGGTAGCTATTTTAAGAGAGGTTGTACAAATAAATACTATATTTTGCAAATACCCATTGCATCTGAAAATACGCTCAAGTAGCAGAATGAGCCATTGCTTTTTTCCCCCTTGCCAATCATAATTTCTTATTCTAACTAAGCAGAAAAAGGACTATGTGCAAAGCTCACAGTTTTAAGAATAACATATAGAATGCTGTTGGTTCTGCTGGGGAAGGCTTTTGGTGGAGGCCTTTAAGTTATCGTCCTCAGGCTTCCACTTGGGCCTTTTGTCATCTTATGAACATGTCGTATTTGGATTCAGATCCTCTCAAGCCCACATCTCCAGTCTGTGTTTCCATATATCTAGCCTTGTGTCAAATGGCTTGGATGTGTCAGAGACACATATACTCTACGAGTCCCAAACTGACTCAGTTCCTCTCCCCATCTTGAGAAACTTCTGTTGTGTTCCTTGGTTTGGTGAGTGGTACCACTCTCCATGTATTGTCTCAAGTCAGAACAGGGGAGTCATCCTGGCCCCCTCTCTCTTTTTTGAATCACTACTGATGGTGTCTGCTAAATAACTACTTTCCTGCTACTTGGATTACAGCCAGATTTATCTTTCTAAAATGCTGGTCATGCCCCTCTCTTATTTCAATCATTTTAGAGTAATCAGTGGCTTAAAAGTTCTCGCCGTGTGAAATGGTTCCTGATTTTTAAGCACCCCACCCATAGCTTAGAACCCATCGCCACAGAAAGGTTTTCTGTGTTATACCCCTAAGTCCGGTTTGGATACCTCTCTTTATGCT